CCAGCATATTATTGTAGGCTGATAGTAGAATGTCACATGAACACAGATATAATCAAATTCTGTTTGGGGCACCATTTATTTAAAATACTTCAAGCTCCTTGCTGGCAGAGCAACAACGAATTAGCATGCTATGCTGCGCACTTCAATTAAAAAGCAGCCTCATCTTTCCTATTTCCAAGGTACAGCAGAGCAAATCTAATTGTGCCATGCAGCCAGCTCTCATCTTTGCAGAGTAACCAGGGCTTTGGGTTTTTTTTGCTTTTTGTTTTTGACAGATCTGTCATCTTCTGAATGAGGCAATGTAGGCTTTTATGAAACGTGCCTCCTAATTGCAGGCAATAAACATAAACCCAGCCAGCAGCAGAGGCTGTAGCAACTATAGCTGAAGTAAAATGAAAATAAAGGTAAGTAAAGAACCACAAAACAAATTCATTTTACATATGATCTGAATAGTTAAACCACCAGGATCTGGATTTCAGTGCTCACAAGAGACATACACATTCCGCTTTCAATATCAATTAAAAAACCCCAAACATAGAACTTAAATGCTGAGATAAGCAAAGATGTTTTATATTTTGGAGGTTAGAAGGTATGACAAATCAATAAGAAATACTTATATGCCCGGATGTTTTTAACTTTTAAAATATTTGCTTACAGCATAAAGAATCTCTGTTCTTGAACTTAGGCTGAGATCTTTGAATATGAGATTTGTTGCTTTTGACTTCAGATCTCCTTGTTCATACTGATTATCTCACCCTAAGTGAATAGGTAAGTCCTTGTGCTTCCTTTTGTCCACTACTCACTTCTTATTCCTGATACAAGCAATGCAGTACCTTTGGGTAGGAATTGAACAGGGTGAACCCACAGAACCACAGATATGAACTGCAGGAGGGCAGTTTGGCCAAGCTCCCACTCTGAGTGGGACTAGCACCAACACCAGTGAGGTTGGCCGTGGCTTTGCCTTTCTGAGCCCTAAAAGCTCCAGGGATGGAAAGTACACAGGCCACCAGACAACATGTTCCTGAACTCCATCACCTTCTTGCAGAATTTTTACATAAGACACAACTTGAAATACTCAGTCTGGAATTTGCCTCTTGCTATATCATCTGACATGACAGAGAATTATCTTTCCCTCTTTGTAGCTACTCTTGTAGCATTTTTGTCACCACCTTTTGTCACTGCAGCTGTAGGCTGCTCTTTTATTCCATCCATTGTTTTTTACTCTCCACTAGGCCAAGGATATTGGTGATAGTATCACTGATACTAAGAGTGACAATAACACTGATATTTTTGAAGGCTTTGGGTATCAATCATCCTAATTGATCTTATTTTAATGTTTCTAGGGATATACACATTACAGTTATTAGACCTGGGGTTTCATCTGGACAACAAAGAATGACACCAAATGTAGCAGAAATGCAAAGGAAAACCCAGATTACCAACTCAATTTAACTATTTATTCATTCTTGGCAGAGCAGCTGGAGAGACTGGCTGACTTTTGGACCAAAAACAAAAAGGCAAAAACCTTAAATTTGTTGATTTCACATGACAGAAATAATTCTGAATATTCAGTGCCACCTCTTAGAAGGACAAGTAAAAAAAAAATTAAAACACCTTTGCCTGGTTTCCAGTGAAGGATGAAAGTACACCACAAATACAACACCAGAAATTAAACACTGAAATGTGAGTGCTACCATCTCATAGGTTTGATTTATTATTTTCATAATTTTATGCTAAAATTACTACAGTAATGAACTATAACGGGAAAGTTGTCATTTTTGAAAGATTTGCTGTTCATCACGTTGTCTTTATGTTTACTATTAAATGTTTTGTACACATAGGTTATCTGATTCAAAGAAACCTTGTGTGTTAGCACTGTTACAGATAATAATGGAAATTCTATTACAATTTTTCATGATATCCCCTTTTATACAGTTGCAGATTGTTACAAAAGAATACAAACCTTAACTTTATTATCATTAATCAGCATTAGTAAATATAATTGACATTTTATACAGAACCAGCTTTAAGTAACTTATTGGCAGCAATACAGATGCCTCTTAATATTACCCTCTGGCTAGCTATGCTGTTTGGGCGCCAGAGTGTCTGCACTAATGACTTGGAATTAAAATCAAATAAAAGCTGAGAACTGTAATTCAGTATAAAACAAACAACTATGCTTAGTACCAATCTTTATATATATAATTTGGATATATCTGGAACTTTTTAAATTTACAGTTGGTATAAAACAGTGGAAGTGTTTGAGACTAGATAACAAAATAGGATAGAGAACAAAAATCTGATGTTCCCAGATTTGTACACTTATCCTTAGGCACACCATAGGAATTGGAATGAGGAGAAAAAGTAGACAGTGTAATTAACCTTTCCTTGCTTTTTTTTTTTAAACAACAACAAAAAGGCAGAACATTTTAGACAATATAAATAGTAAAAGTACACATTTTTCTGCCCTTATTTTTCATCTCAGCAATTTCTGTAGTTTCCTGAGGATTTAATGTGCTTAGGCATGAAAGGTACCTAATCCTTAAAAAAATTTCCTATGAAGACATGGATTATGTTATCAAAAAGATTTACGAAAACCTGCTTCACTGTACAACCGGGAAAGCTGCTCTGCCTCTCAAAGCCTCATGCCCTGACTTCCAGATATCAAGTAGTGTTTTTTTTCCAGAGCATATATGAGCCCTCTCTTCCCCACAGCACCCAGGTATGACCTATTTGACTTCAGCTCTGGGAAAAAAAAATTAATAAATTAGAAGTAAAGCCAAAATACTTTCTGGCACTTTTGTATTTTATGATGGGGCCTCCAGGGGCCGCCACACATTTAAGCCCCCTGAAGGGCTACTGATAAATCTTGTTCCACACGTCTCTACTTTATCCATTTATCCCCACCCTTTGCTTCAATAATCTACGTTTAAAGTCACTATAATTTATTTTTAGCCAACTCTGAGGAAGAACATTAGGATCTAGCCCTTTAAACATGGCTTATTTTATTCATATATTCATTTAAAGAAGTCAGTTCTTTTCTGAGCTCTCATTTTGGTAAGACAGTTAAGAAAACAAAAGAACGTATTTAAGCAAGAGTAGTAAATATTAAACATTCCAAAGAATACCTATATTGCATGGGAGAGACAGAAATTTTATTATTATACAAATATATATGTATATATAAAGTAATCATCTTCTTGCTTCGTGGATCTGATCTCCTCCATGGAGAGTCACAAATCCACACGATAGCCCTGAGTGCTCAGATTTTGCATTTGCTTCTCTGATTTTACAATAGCTGAAAGATATGTAAAAACTCATGTAGCCAGACAGCTCCCTACTGACTACACATCTAAGCAACTTCACATGCATATATTATTCCAACCAGTGAAAGCTGGAAATAACGTATGCCTCAAAAAAATAAAAAAACCCATACTTGAAAGGAGCCTGTTTTGGTTTCTATGCAAAACCCTCAGATCTCTTCCTGACCAAACTACACCCTTCTATAGAGCACTGCTATCTCAAGTAGGGACAAGTCAAACTGTTGAGTTATTCTCTGTTGAGTGAAGGGTGGAAATTTCTTCAAAAACTTATAAATATGACTACAATAGCACTTTGTTGTTGAATGCAATTCAGTGAAAAAAGTTAATAATAACTACTACTGCTTTGCTAGTGTTATCCTGGAGGGTTTTTTTGATTCTCTCCCATTTCTAATCATAACTCCAGTAAATGACCACTGGCCATGAAAAGCATCCAAATGACTTTCATTAAAAACAATAATCTGTTGCATGGACCAGACTGACATAATTTTGTTCACAGAAAACAATAAAATGTCCAGTTCACTGTTCCTGACAGTATTGCTATGATAAAAGTATACGTGTAGTGTGTCCATAGTTGCAGTGATTACAACTCCTACTGCTTCCCTAGCTTAGGAAAGTTAATGGTTTAGTTATCCAACCACACCTCAGTTCTTAAAAGTGTTGTGTTTAACTGAGGAAGTGAGGATGAATTAAGATGCCCTCTACAAAGAGGTCAAGTGAATAATAGTATCTTGATTTTAGGGTATATAATCATATAATTCCAAAACATATAATTCCCACTCTGCATCTCCTCCCTCTTCTTCTTCCCCTCTCCCTAAAATGTAGTAAGATGGGAATCAAACAGGCTTCATATTTCTGAAATTGTGATGGTCAAAGTTTAGAAATCTCTCCCGGTAGACCGTGAACCAAGATTTTTCAGAGACTTACAATTCACCATATTTGGGCATGTTTCAGAGCCAAAACAAATTTCAAACTATGACCAAAACATGCAAAAATCTGAAAACTTCAAAGGGATAGTAGTACAGGAATTGGGGTTTGTACATGTCTATTTTCTTTTCATGGGCACACCACCACACATTCTCCTAACTGAAATCATTGGAATGTATTGATAAACTGCAACAGATTTCTACATGGCAGAGATATCAGGCACAGGTAATTCCAACCTAAATCATATAAAACAACAAATCTATAGGCTATGGAACATAGGATCCTATAAGAGAAGATGTTAGCTGTACATGGTACTACCAGCATGTATGCCCTCTTCCATGACTCTAAAAGACACTTAGGTTTATATGTTAAAGATTGTGAAACGAATCGTGCATATATCTCACGTCCTTCAAAATCATTATTGATATACACAGTAGTTACTAGACTGTGATCTAAAAGATACCTACAGGGTACTGAAATGGAAATCTACAAATTCTGTCCAAGTGCTTTTCAGAAATTGTTTGTTTTCATCTTGTTCCTTGTCAAATACATAATGCACTTTTGTTCTAGCAAAACCAAGCATTTTGTACATTCTCAGCTTCTGTATTTTTTTTTTCCTTTTAGCACTAAATATTTAAACACATTCAACCTAAAAATCTGAAGCTAGTAATCTGCTGCTTGTGTCTTCCCCCCTGAGGTGTAACTATCAATGTTGCTGAAGGGACATTATAGAGATTGCAGTTACAGTCCTACCTGCCCACAGGCCAGTCCCATGCCTCGCTCCCCCATACCATGAGGACATGATAAATTTAACTCCAGCGCATCAGCACCAGCAACCTATGAAACATGTAGAAGGAAAAAAAATGCAGAATTAACTTCAAGTAATGCACTCTTTCCTGTAGCATTTACTGTTCATGCTATATAGATTTCTTTAGACATTTTATTTTTGTTTTTTAAAGAGAGAAAACTATGGTTATGATACCCTGAAAAAGAACGTGTTGATCATTACAGACAGAAATTTCAAAAATTTATGTGGTTTCCAAAAACTATTAAGGAAATTAAAGTTAAAAATAAATTAAAAAGAGACAAGGACAATAAAGAGTTCGTTCTGGAAAATGTTAAAAAATGGAATGTAATTGCAGGGCCTTAGAGCAACACTGAAAGAGAGGTTTGGCAGGCAGTGTTACACAGGTGTTGCTGTGCTCTGAAGAACTGTAACTCAGGAGTAAATTTTTCCTTTCTGCTTTAACAAATTTAGTCTCCAAATTTTCTGCAGGCATCTGTACTGTGTCATAGCTTTTGACATTAAATATTTTTCTTTCTGAAGAACAAGAGAGTAATAAAAAAAGTCTATACAAACATATTATTCACGCTAATTTCTCTTCATCACCCTCTATTAGTTACAATTAAAAAGGCAAGGGAGCCAAGTTGTACAATGGCAGCACAAAGACATGCTTCTCTTCCTTTCTGCTGAACTGCTCCGCCTGAGACAAACATCTCTCCTGTTGCCTTCCACGTGGCTCTAACTAGGATTTTGTTTTGCATTTGCATTTTGTTTTTGCTTATTGAACTGGAGTAACTTTTCTTGCTGTGTGGCCACAGTTCAGCAACTCCCCAAGTGCGTGAGCAGGGGAGAAGCCATCCATCACTTTCAGGAATCCTCCCCGTTCCAGCCAGCTCCATGAGTCTGGCCATGCCGCGCTGCTGTCGGTGCTGTCGGCCTCCCTGACAAGCTGACCTTTTGTATGAATAGGTTGCCCTCCTGCTGAGAGGCACTGCAGTACCTTCTGGGGCTTCTGCTCTCTGGAAAGCCACATCTATTACCCCCTAGGTAGGATCCTACGCATGCGATTAAATATCACTGCTCTTCAGCTGTGAGCTCCAGAGCGTCCCAAACTAGTGTGCTGCTCTCCACAGAGCGGACACCAACAACTACTTTCCAGAAGAATGTTGTACCACATACGTTACACATCATTGACTGCATTTAAAGAACCACTTTTTTCTAAAGGGGTAACACAAATACAAGCACGGATTGGAAATATCTGTCTTAAAGTTGGATAGCAGTATCACTGAATTAAAAAAGAGGGAACAAATGGCACAATAAAGCCATTCATCTCAGTCAGTTTAAAAGTGGCACTGCTCCTGTCAAGCACAGATTCCAAAAAATTATTTCATGGTCAATTAGGTAAATACAGGTATAAATTGAAATAGTGTCAAAGATTACCAAGCTAACTACTGATAATGTTTAATTTCACTTCCCTAAGTCCCCAAAGTGACTTTTTTCCTCACAGGTTTAAAATGCTCAGAGAAAATAGAGAAGTGTCATCCCACATCATCATAGGAGGGCTTAGGACACTGAATAAACAACAATGTCCAAACATTCTGCCATATGAAAACACAAATTCAAAATATACACACCTCTATCCACACATATATAAACACATTTTTAAAAATATTTAATACTTATAAAATATTTAAATCTGAGCTAATGCTAGCAATAATGACAAGCTAATTTTTTTCTTTGCTTAAATGTGTTAATACTATGCTATTTATTTCCTCTAGATAATTTATGTGGAAAACACACTTTAATTTAAATATAACAACTTTGCATTCCATTCTGATATAGACACCTTTCTGAATGAAATTATTGCAGTCTTAATCAAGTATTTCTTATACTACTCCCTATGGACACAGGTACATGTTATTAAATAGTTTTTCCCTTCAAATTCAATAGAAATTTCAGGTGCATAGTCTGTTTGTATTTCTGTAAGACTGGACTTATACTATAGGAAGCCTGCTGACTGCTATTATATATGCTGGCTTTCTCAGCTATCATTTTTGAAAGTCTGTATTAAAACTAGAATAGCATTAAATGAGCCCTTTATACTTTAAATATTCAAGAGTTTTATATTCAAAATTTCTTCTGGTGCTGTCAAACTAGCGTGCCTGAAGGCAAGGTAAGATCAAGTTAGGCTCTCAAAGGTAGAATTAAATTTTATCAGGGCATCCGTCATAATATACAGTTTGCTTAAAATGCAAATAAAAAGTATATAGATTCAAAGACTAAAGGCTTTGCAGGTACTGCTTAAAAATCCAAGGGATCATTTTTATGGAACAGATTTCCTTTAAATTTACATTTCCATCACTTTAATGAAAACACAGAATAAACAAATTATAATGGACATGCTTTAAATTCTCATTTTTCTCTTTGAATCTATTTCTTTCAAGAAAGTCCTTACTGCAGCTCTTGTTTTTAAGGAGAATTTTAAAAAATATGCAGAAACACAATTAGGAAATCATTACCTCAGCCATTTTTGAAAGTTCAGTCCAGTCCTCCCTGCTATAGCTGCACATGATACTGGCAATCAGAACCTGTAAAGAACATACATGCAATCATTTTAAGCCATGTTACCATATTCTGTAATACAGCCCGTTACTGTGACTCCAGGCTTTAACTGCCACAACCTGCACATGGGAACTACCAGCTGCATGCCACCAGCTATACAGTGAAATACAGCTGCAGATTTCACTGGGGATGACACACAGTATATAAACTCATGTATTGTATCCCTGTTTTTTAAGATATCTGGGATAGGCTTAATCTGTCACCCCCCTCATCATAACAATTCTTTCGAACCTTCCCATAATGCTGAGGGTTAATGACTCATTCATTTCAGGCAAATACTGAAAAGCACAGTGTAGAAAAATTGTTCAACACACACAATTGTTGGAAACTGCAAACTCCCAAATTATCTCCATAAGAAAGATGAGATATTTAGTATCTACAGAAGGCAGGGAAAGGCACTTTAAAAAGTAAGGCAGCTATGGAGAAAATTGGACATGGTGAGGTTACATTCTATTCATTTAAAAGGACAATACCACTCATCATCATCATTATTTCCACTATTTCCATTGTTTTGCTCTGATGAATCTCTACAATCAATCTACCACCCACCTACTTGCAGACTACCTACCCATCCACTCTTCTGGTTGATGTTTGCAGGATGTCTTTTGAGAAGGAAAGGATTTGATTTGATAAAGCACCTGCCTCGCCTGCAGGTGCCCATTTGTGTGCACCTCTGGCATAAATATAAGACCAAGCTTTTCATTAAGCACACACAATCATTACTGGCCATGCTTTTATTTCCCTCTGACAGAGGAAAAAGAGTCTCTCTCCTATACCATAGTTTTTTTAATTGTGAAAAATCCTATATAGCTTTATATGTTATGACAAAATCTGCTCTGTGTGCTATTTGAATATTCAGGACAAATTGAGTACTCTGGAAATAAACAAAAATCTCTTTTAAAGGAGTCTAATTAATTTTTTAAAGGAAAAATTGCAAAAAATCAGTTCAAGAAATTATATATGAGAAAAATATAAAGCAACTGGAATTTAGCTAGAAACTATCTTGTCAAATTCACACTTTTTTTAAACTAACTAAAGCAAAAAAAACCCCAAACAAACAAAACAAAACAACCCAGCAGCTCAGACACTGACAACTTGATAAAGATTTTCACACTTGCAGTCAAAATCCAAAGTATATCAGAAATTTGCACAATTGAGCTTTAAAACAAATCAAATTTTTTCATCAGGGAAAGTTATAAGACAGCAAGGGTGGCTGACTATATTCATAAGTAGTTGAGTTACATTACATCAAGTGTTATTAATGAAATTTGAAAATTCTGCTGGGAGTGTACAAAAGAGGAGGAACGAGATCTGTGATGTTTCAAAGAGCTCTTAATTAAGACAACATGTTTATTTAATACTGATTAGTTTTAGCATTCACATTTAAAATTAAGTACATACTTTTGACAGAAGCAGTGGTTTACAATAACAAAAATAACTGAAAGCAAAAATTACATTTCTGCCATGACTCTTCATGGGAAAACCATGATCTCAAAGGGAATAATGAAAATTTTAAAATAGTAGGGATTTTATTCTCCTTTTCCCCCCACTGTTCTCTTATAACTTGAAATGAAACTTAATTCCTAGGTGGAAACATATCTTCCAGCACTCTGCTAAAAAAACTATCCTTCCTCAAGTGATTATTCTTCCCCAAAATGCCTCTACAAACTTTTCATTTGGAATCAGTAACCATGACAAGAAAAAAAATAATTATCATGGGTGAACATTTAGGGGAACTATCTGTGATGCTTGAGGTTTGAATCTACTCCTAAAATCACACAAGGGAACTTATAAAGAAATCACAGACTATTATCACCTACTACCTAGAAAGAGAATAGCAAGAAAAAAGAATAATAAGTGATAAAAATCAGAGGTTTTATTTGAAAGTAATAAACAGAAATTGTATCACATTTCAGCTTCTTAGCCTCTTCTCACTAATTTTTTTTTATTTTTTTACATCTTCGGTGCCTACAATGCCATGTACCACATTACCACCCCTGCAACTTTAATGGCCCCAAACGGTATCTCTCGAAAGTCCAGCATAAGGCCCAGCCCAGGTGCATCCATGGAGAGTACATCCTTCCTCCTGATTCCTGAAATTTGTAGTGGCAACCTGACATAAGCTTAATTACAGTGGTTTGAGCCACAAGTGCGAGGCCGCACCATGCTTCCCGGCTTACAAAAGTGGGCTGCTGACAGGTCTTACAATGAAGCTGCTGCTAAAGCGTAGTAAGTGGTAAATGAAGGTTGACTAAATTGCAGCTTTGTCATAGCTTGAGTGTGGGCTGCCTGCGTACCGTGCATGATTGAAGCACAGTGGGACCCCGGCCCTCTCTTTTTTCCAGATCAAAATCATAGCTGGTATGTGCTGTGCCCTCCTCTTCTTCATCCAAACTGCTATTTTGCCTGTTGCTGAGAGATCCCGCCTGCTCTGCCCTGCGCCCAGGAGCGCAGCAGCCCTGCAGACACTGCTCCTCCCTGACGATCACTGTGACAGATGTCACAGACAAGGTCCTTATGCCCTGACACTACACAGGGTGATCCACAATTTCTCTGAATGCCCATAAAGGGACAAACACGTTTGTAACATCGGACACTGTTCTGTGTTCAGAATTTTCTTGATCATTCATGGAAGAAAAAGGTCCACAATAAAACTTTTTTTTTTTTGTTGGAAGGAAGGGAGATGGAAAAGGGAGGGTATGTAATGCACCAGCTAGGACAGAATTATAAGATGAATATACTGTAGCTAAAGCACCTTGCAAAAAGCTACATTTCACACAATTCTATAACTAATGCATTAGTAGTTGTTCTACTTAAAAGAACACTGACAAGGTACTTCTCCTAATCCTTAAAATATTTTTCTCCCTGTTTAAAATAATCCCCTGGAAGCTTAAACTAGAATCTATTTCCCTTGTGAACGTTGTTTTTTTTCCTCTTCCATTATCGTTATGTGGATGTCTCATGAAGGCAATAACATTAAAAGAAATAAAAAGGATGAGGTTTGTCACCGTGAATGTTTTCAAGTGATCTTTCTTTCCTAGCACACAGAATTCACTGCAAAAGGTTGCAAAACAAAAGGAAGGAGAAAAAAAAAAAACTGGGCCTACTTTGGGTCAGACAATCCTGAGAAAATCTATTTAAAACCAGACAGCAGTAAAACTCTAGGTTGACAATTACCATTTGTCCTGTTCTGACTGCTCTGCAGGGAGTAAGGGAGTTTCAGTACACTCAGTCTGAAAAAAATCTCAGGGGGCTGGATTTAAATGTGAACACTGTCAATTCCTGTAAATTTAGGAAAACTTCCCAAGAGACAGAACACAATCACAATCCCCTACCCTCATGCCTGTAAGAACCAAATTTATTTTGGTCATCTCACACAGGCCATAGCCTGTATCTGTTCCTAATTTACTCTTCCAGGTCTCTGTGTAATCTACCTGTACTTCAGGAAATTCAGCCACCGACATAATTTCTGCTTTCTCTTCCGTACCTGTCCTTTCTCACTGCTGTATTACACTTGAGGGCACTTCTGCATCAAGTGTCCATAGATGCTCCATTTAGACACTGCTGCTGGCCACAACATGCAACCCCTTCTGATTTCTCAAACAGTTGCAAAAATCCCCAGCATTTTATTTTTTATGTGCACAGTCCTTGAAAAAACATAGTCTTAGCATCATCTTTAAGAGACTGTTCCCCTGAAAGCTGTAAAATCAAGAGGAGCTTTCAAGAAGACTGAAGAACTGCTTTTTTAACAGCTACTTGTTTGGGAAGCAGAGATATGGAATAGGATAATTGCTGTGTAAAGAGGGGGTGCAGAGATTGAAGATGACATTAAGAACCATATTTCAATACCCACAAAATTATTGTTGATCAATCTAAACTTCAAAATGTTTTTTTATTTAGGCCAGATGGAAAGACCTCAATCCTCCTTTCAAGACATGTTTCCTCTTTCAAAACAATACAGTATAGCCTTGCTACATGACCTGCTTAGCCTGAACAAATGCAAACATTTTTAAACAAAATTCCTCAGGAAGCATTTACTAAGAAGGAACTTAGCACTGAAGATATAAGCTTTCTAAAACAAATGGCAAAAATAACATTATCACTCGCCAGTGGACAAGACACCTACATCCATACCAACACACAAAGACAGGAGAACTTCTTGGCAGCTGAATCACTGTTTCACAGCATTAAAATCCCCATCTGTCTGAATGAGGGGTACATACACTCAGTTTTGACCACAACCCATAGATTGTAACAGGCCAACTCACTCTGAACTCACTCACTCACAGGATTTCCTGAAGGTTTTGAACATGTGTAGCTACAACAACATGTAGTCCACCATGCGCTTGTTGAAAAGTTAATAAAGAACAGTTTATGGGGCACTTTTTAGCTATTTCAATGACACGATAAATAATCTTGCAAATATCTACATGGAAAACACGTTTGCTGCATATGGATTTCTCACAGTTCTTCACACATGCAAGTCAAACAAACTATCTGATCAGAGGTCAGATTCTGCACTCACAATAGCTCTTAGATGCAGTCTCAACAGCAAAGAGTGCAAGGCAATACCAACAGCACCACAGGATTTTTTGGGTTGGTACAGATGTTACACCTTAACAACTCACACCACTAGCCTTCCTCTGTAACCCTGCCTCTTGCACAGCATCAGGTCCAGGACAAGTCTCAGCTATGCCACATCGTGCCAGCAGAAAAGTTTTTGGAGACTTACTCCTGCTTGGTGCCACTTGTGGCAGTCCTCTGCTTTTTGCCACTGGCTGGCAAAAAGATCATCCTCAAAATCATCCAGCCAGAATTAACTACGTATAGAACACTTGTAAGTACCCACTGTACAAGATAAGAGCACAACTGCAGTAAATATTCTGTATTGCACAAATATGCTTACATGTACAGCAGTAAAAAACAACAGAAGCACAAACATTTGCTCTTGCAAAAATAACCCTCC